TGCTGTGCTTCTGGGCAGCAGGCACTCGCCTCACGTTTATCTAGCAGCAGTTACTGATAACGTGCTCTGGTAAAAGACTTATCCAGGTTTCCATCAGCTGGTGGTTTTAGAATGGTGTTAGTTAGCAGTCACTTGCAATAAACTGAATTGAGCATCCTTTGAAGCTGGAAATCAGTTATGTGCTTTCCAGTGTGCACAGCAAGACCCCAGTCTGGCAGAAGACCCTGTTTGAGCCACCACTTGGTTTCCAGCCCATGGAGCAAGCTCTTCTTTCATTAGTATAGATGTTCTTACCCACAGAGCAGCTCCTGCTGCTCTTTTTGTCCTCCAAGTTCCCACCTCTGATCACTGCTCTAGTTTTGTGAGAGATGCTGACATCCAGCTAAAGGCTCTGTGTTGTCGGTGGCAGCTCCCCTGCCAGGGTTGCCTCTGTGCTGCCTGCGCCTGCTGACCCCGGCACTTCTCAGCACTTTGGCTGCCCCTCCAAATGGTGTCACCAGACTGACCTGCCCCAGGGCCACCATCCCCTCTGTGGCCTTCAGCTGAGGCGGTAGCGTTTCCTTGCTGCTGTTCTTCCTCCTACTGCATGGAGAAAAAAGGCAGGCTGCTTGTGAAGCGTGAGCTCAGGAGGAGAAAGAGCCGGTCCCTGGCTGCCAATTGCTATTCTGGCCTTGCTATTCTCTCCTGCAATCTGCTTCACCCCCAGCCACAGCACCCTCGAATCTGGAGAGTACATGGAAAGTCCAGTACTTTGAAAACACAGGGGTGCTGCTGCCTGCAAGATAGAGCAAATAACCCACTCTGTAGTGGCTCAAATGCTGAGATAGGAGCTAGAGTATGTGCAAACCTTTGTCTGTCTTTGGGTTTAGCCATTCTGGCTGAGAGGAGGCATTACTGTGGGGTAAGGTCTGGGTGGGCAGTGGCCCTGAAGAGCAAATGTGTGTGCTGACACCTCTTGGCTCCCGCACCTTTCCTTTCTTACAAAAACAAAAACAAGCCTAATGGCTTTCATCTGCTGGTATAGAGGCGTTACTGCTCCTTCTCAGAGGGAAAGGGGCAGCTCTAGCCACAGCAAGGAGTCAGTGCCAGGGCTCGTGGCTGGGGCTGCGTTGCTGTACAGGGGGGACAGTGCCATCCCCCTTCCTCTGCACAGCTGCAGTGGCTGTGGGTCTTGCCACATCGCCTCCTGTCCCTGGAGAGCGTCTGCCCCAGCCCAAGCCCCTGCGCTACCACCGGCTCGCTGGCACAGACCCTGGTGTGAGGCACGTCCCCGGGCAGAAGGACTTGAGCGAGGTTTAAGAACTGAGCCAGCAGCATGTCAGCTTGGTCACTGCGTCCTTCCCAATGCCGGCAGCTTCCCACTGCTGCCATGCCAGGCAACCCTTTCACCCCCGCGTAGCAATAGCAGTTGCTGGTATTTGTGATGCTTTGTATACAAATAGCACGTGTTGCAGGGGCCTAGCGATGGCTGGAGGGGGAGAATTGAGCTTTAGGGTTAACCATGCGGCTAATAGACTTGTCCCTTGGGCACAGCCCTGTGTTAGCAGGTCTGTGCATAAACTGCATCTGTAGATCCTCTCCAAAATGCCCACAGTTGATCTGGGGACTGGAGCGCTGCCCAGGGTTTACCGTCTGCCTATGAAGGCTCTGGTGACAGGGACTCATCTCTTCGGATCACGGTTTCAAGTCTTTCGCTAACCACAGCGTGCAGACAGCCCTTCCACAGAGCAGAGCTGGCCCTGAACGAGGGTGGCTTTTGTCTCATCCCTTTGCTGGACTTGCCTTTGGCATCAGCTGACTGCATCAAGCACTCAAGAATGTGATTTACTGTTAACTCTGGCTTTGCTGCTCCTTCCTTAGCAAATTCTGTTCCTGCAGGACCTTTTCAGCTTCCCTGGGAAGTGGTGTGCTTTCCTACAGGAACTTGTAATCCATTGTAATAAACAAAGATGATGAGGGGACTGGAGCATCTCCCCTGTGAGGAAAGGCTGAGAGAACTGGGTCTGTTCAGCCTGGAGAAGAGAAGACTTAGAGGAGATCTCATCAATGCTTACAAATACCTTAAGGGTGGGTGTCAAGAGGATGGGGCCAGACCCTTTTCAGTGATGCCCAGAGAGAGAGGTTAAGGAACAATGAGCACAAACTGAAACTCAGGAAGTTCCATCTGAATGTGAGGAAGAACTTCTGTACTTTGAGGGTGGCAGAGCACTGGAACAGGCTGCCTGGAGAGGCTGTGGAGTCTCCTTCTCTGGAATTACTCAAAACCCACCTGGACACGTTCCTGTGCAACCTGCTGTAGGTGAACCTCCTTCGGCAGGGGGGTTGGACTACATGATCTCGAGAGGTCCCTTCCAACCCTGACCATTCTGTGATTCTGTGATTTTCAGCCTTCGGGAACAGATGTTGTTCCCAGAGCCCAAGCAGAAAAAACTGCTCTGAAGGAAGTTCTCACAATAAGGAGAGGTTGGGCTATTAACTTGTTCTTGATTAGCCATCAACGCCCTGCACCAGCATTTAAAGCTAATTACTTGAGGTTTGTGCCACTATTTGTTCTCAAGTAAATTCTGTGCTGTCTTTTAAAGAGTTAGTGTTTTGCAGCAGTGGCAGTAACACAGCCGAAATACTGACCTGTCACTCTGCTGGTCCTGGATTTACTCTGTGGTTGTAAAAGAGTAACAACCAGCATTTCACTCAGCGTTGGTAGAAGTAACCCATCAAAATATTAATTTCATGTTTTCCAGTAGCTTAGAACATCTTCAAATGAACAAATCTACATGTTGTTGGATCTTGTCAAACTGCTACTTTTGTGTTGGTTTCGGCCTTTCAGAAAATAAAGAATATATTCATTCGTCACTGCTTTTTTTTTTTTTTTTTTTTTCTCATTTAAAAACTATTCCTGTACTGAAGGTTTTGCCAGCAGCCTGCCTGCGGACATAAGCATGTGCAAGCCACAGGTCTTATATTTTCCTGAAGTGTTTGGGAGCAGAGAGATCGTAGGTAGGACTTAGTCCCTGCTATTACTAATAGTAAAACTTTGCATTTTAACCCGAGGCAAGGAGGGTCAGAGGGCCGTTGCCACCTCCTCTAAGGGTGTCCCAGCCTCGCAGTGCAGAGGTGGGAACTGGAGCTGGGCTGCTGTGCATTGAAGTGGTGCTGGGCAGGACAGAGACAGGAACCACATGTCCTGCAGCAAAATCAGTGCTGGGGTACAGCTTCTACCCCTTGGCATGAAATCACCGCATGATAAAACTCACTGGTGGCCTCAGTGCAGAAACAGCAGTGGAAGAAGATGCGCCTCGAGCCTGGCCTCCCAATTAAAACGTAAACTGCACAGGGAAAATCCAGGTTTGCAGCCTGGAGGAGGGCATAACCCCTCATCATTTACAAGCCGTAGAGTCTGGAGCAGTTGTGGGCATTTCAGAAACCAAACTGCAGGTATCTGAGACAACTTGCACAAGCAACAAGGACATACGTAGAGATGGCTCCAGGCTTAGGAAGCTGCTGAGCAGGCACATTTTACTTGTCAGTCTTGGATTTACAGCCTTTGAATATACCTATTTTAATTAAGATAATAATTTTATGGATAGAGGATTCTTTTATCTTCTTGCAGGTGGTGGCCACATTAGCGGAAGGCAAGATCTATGATTCAGCTGCTGGGAAACACAGACTGGGTTAGACAGATTAAGTGCAGAGTATTTGGCCTAGATTCTGCCAGATGTAAATCCACTGAAATGACTACACAAATTGGACAGTCTGTGCCCTCTGCTTTTCCCTAATTGAATGCTTTACTAAAATCAAATAAATAAAAACTACAACATATTAAACATGTTCTGCAGAAGAACTGCTGTACTTTGAATGTATAAAATGCCTGTTACAACTAACCTACACTTGAGTGTAAAATGGTAAAATGTTTTTATGTACCAAAACTAATCCAGGTCTTTTAAACAGACAAACATTGACCTGCATCAGCATGAAGGCAGCCTATTTTTACATCAACCTGCAGCAAAAGACTGCACGCTACATTTCATCTGCTTATGAAGAAAAAAGGGTATTCTGTTTCCTTACTTTATGGATTTTTTTTACTTTTTTTTTTTACGTAATTACACATTGTAAATGAGATCCACTCAGAGGCGCATGAATCATACCAATTTGGCCAACAGCTGGGATTAAAATAATCTTCGGCACTGAGCAGAAGGAATGAAAGAAAAAGCACGGCAAGGTCCATGTTTCCCACACCCAGTCTGACCCATGCAGCAACAGCTGTCCCGTCGTCCTCATCATTTATTATTTCTTCTGGAATGACCAACAAATGGGCAGGAAAGTGAGGACTCGATACAAATTCTAATAAAGATTCAGGATTTCTCATTTTATTGCATTCGTTGTCTAACAACAATAATACTCATTGGCAAGGAATTTATTTACACTAACAAATAAACTTTAAACCACAAGGCTTTGTTGTTCATATTTAAACTGTAAGAAAACAAAGGGCCACCATGATGTCTTGTTTTGATGTCTCCCAATAACTAAATATTAACCAAAGTTATTTTGGGGAAAACTCAACAATCTAGAGAAGTTCATATCAACCAAGCACAAGAGAACAACCTCAGACATGGCACTACTGTGTCTTTCATGCAGATGATCAGACACCAAGATGTACAAACAAAAAGTTCAGGATAACATGCACTT